TATTAATTAATTATTTAATTAAAAAACTTTATTATTAATTAATTATTTAGTTAGAAAACTTTATTAAACATTAATTTTCATTTCACAATTTAATTTTTTTTCAATCTCAAGAAAAAAAAGGAAAAAATTAATGATTATATAGGTGGAACTAAAATATATGTCAAATATATAATACCTATACAATATTCATAATTCATAATTTCATAATTCATAATTTCATAAAAGTATTAACTTTTATTTAAAGAAAAGACATGAAAGATTAGAGTTTAAAAGACAAATCCAATATATATATATTAATATCTAGTGCTTATTCAATTTTTATAAGAGTATTATACAAAAAATATAATTTTATTCAATATTTAAAAGGGCATTATACAAAAAATATAACTTTATTTAATATTAAAGTTTAAAATGATAAATCCAAAATATGTCTAACCAAATACAAGCAGAAATTGAATCAGAATTAATTTTTATTAATTAAGAACAAATTAACAACTAAGAACAATCCTTGATGTTCTTGATATTCTTGTTTTTATACTTTTAATAGTTATGAGGGTACCTTAACCACTAGTTTTGATTTTCAATAGGCATTCTTGCTTTTTATTTTAAAAAAAATGATCTTTTTTACAATGTTATATGATATAACTCATTATGTACTACCTAATCTAATTTTCGATGCAAGTGCCACCAAAGAGAAGGATTAGAAAGCTTGAGATGAAAAAGAGGAGAGTGAGAGTAGAGAAAAGGAAAAGTTGAGAGAAAGTGAAATTGATGAGAGATTAGGGTTTGAATATTTTATTTATTTTTATTTATTTTGGATTTCGAATTAACACATAGAATTTATGACTCTACCCATAACTGATGAATTGAGTTAAATTTTCGTATTAAGTCCAATTTTACCAGTTCTACTTGGAGGTCTTCCTCCCGTTCTGGAATTGAATTCTGTAAGATGGCTGTATCCCATCACGTGTGGGTAGCATGCATGTAAGGTGTTTGATTCGTTGCCTCAGAGAAAGATCCAGTTTGAATTTAAACATGAAAGCATTGAATATGGATTGTATTATCCGTCGTAAACCCATAAAAGCGTAAGATTTTTCTTCCGTCTAACATTTAGGATGTTAGGAGCAAACCTAGTAGTAGCATCCCGCATAATGGCACGTATCACACAACTCCCTATTATATTCTCTATTTACATATATACAGTTCCTAAAAAGGGAAAATCCCTCTTTTTTCTTTGCCTTTTAACAACATTCAACGAGGCTAAAGGGTAAAGTCATGGGTTGAGTGCAACTCAAATGTGACTCAAAAATCATCAAAATAACACTAAACTTTCATTTCATCAACCCTAATTAGTACAATAGTTTGATATTAACTGGGATTATTAATTATAAATTGCTACAAATTAGTGTTTTATAGAACTTTTTATTTAGCTTCTGCTAGATTTAGTTGATAAAAATGAATGATAGTTATAATTGTTAATCAAAATGAAAAGTTGATATTTAATAATTGATATGTAATTTGAAATCAACTTATACAGATGTTTTTTAAAATAATTTAAGAAAAAAGTTTAAATCAAAATATTTTGGTACTTTCAATTTTAAAATTTTTTGTAAAATTATTTAAATGTCTTAAATAAACTTTTTTATGTATTAATTTTTAATAGTATTTTAATTTTTTCATTATTATCTTTAATATTAAAAATATTAAAATATTTTTTTTATAAGAAATGGAGAAATATATTGAATAATAAGAACGTACAGTAAAAACTCCATCACATGGCATATAGCCTAAAGCATGAGAGCCTAACAAGCAGAAACAGAAGCATAACCTACAGCCTAGTAACAGATTTTAACTATGCCCATGACGAATATAGACAATTAAGTAAAAAGAGCCATCTGCAACTAGAGATTACAATTGCAATCGCTGTATGGGTTAAATAGGGCTATTAATGTAGAAAAGGAGGGTCACTATGAGCATCAGAAGCTACTGGACGTCCTCACCTAGTTAACCAGCTTCATGGGGAGAGCAAGGGATTTCGGCAACAAACAGTCCCCAACCCACAAGTTGCCGCCCTATCTATTCATTGAGGAATAAGTAGCAAGAAGGGGCATGGTCCTCCATCCAAGCCCAACCACCTCCCTCGTCTCCATGAGCTCCCAACCATAGCCCTAATTGCTCCAATCCTCTTTAATCCCATGTGGCCGAAAGTCATTAAGGGAACGAGAGCCCCTTTAACGATTGGAATAGTGTTCTCCCCTCGTAGAACACCGTCAGCTTTCCCAACCGCCATCCTTTCCTCCTGTTTTCGGCCTAAAAAACCAATCCATCTCCAATGACAGCCACCTGGATCGACAATTACAAGAGCTTTCTTAGGGTTCCCGGAAGCCGTTAAAACATTTTGGAGGCCATTAAGGCTGATCCTCCGTCGGGATAGCAAGTTCCCAACCATCTGTAACATATTCACTTTAGCATCATCTTGTTTCCGGAACATATGCAGTGGGAGGATCTCGGCTTTGTTCTCTGCAATTCGGATCCGACGGACCATAAAACCCAGGTTATCTTCCGCCATGATTGGGATGTTGTAGCAGTGGCGAAAACAAGATGAATCTGCAGAGATCTGGCACTCCCGAATAGATGTGGCGATGTTGCAAATAGAGGAGAAGCACCAGGTTATGGCGCCTCAACTGGATCAATCGAAAAGCCCTGCCTAAAGACTCGAAGCAAAGAGGAAGAAAAATAGAGAGGCTCCGCTGCCGGAGAGAAGTCTCGAAGGAAGAGGCCCGCCGACTCCAAACCCTAGCCGGAGGAGTTTGGAGCACGGGAGGTCTAAAAATATTAAAATATTTTAATTTTTCATAATTCCCTACTTTATTAGTTGTTTAAGTTAAAAACATTTATAAACTGTCATTATCAAACCAAATCAAACCAAATTAAACCAAACAAAATTAAACTTTAAAAAATAATTTAGATATAA